ATGTTTAGCAGTAATAAATTAGCAAAACGATAATATATGAAGGGGTATGCTAGTAAATGAGACCCTAGGGAAGTAATGTCCCTACCCTATGATGTTTGTTGGTGTTTTAAATTAAAGAAATTATGGTTTGTGTATGAACTCAGTGTATTTTGTAAGTCTGCAGAAGTTGATTAAATCCATTGTTACCAATTGGAACTGGGACCATTGCAAACCAATTTGAATCGGGGCCAGTTAAAGTTGAAGACCAGTTGAATTGTCCAAAAACACACAACACCCACATTTTTTTTTTTTATAGAATACACAGATTTTCTATATAAAATCGTTAATTGATATACACTTTCTATACAATTGTATAGAATTTCTATTCGCATATTTAATGTATTTTTATCGGTTTTTTCTATAAATTGTTTATAGATTTATAAGTGGTTTTTATGAAATTGTTTATAGATTTTCTATAGTTTTTTTTAAGGTTTTTTTAATATGAAATTTTCATAGACTCTATAGATTTTTAATAGAATTTTCATAATTTTTTATATAATTTTTATAGTTTTTGAAGTCTTAATATATTTTTATTATATTTTTAGAATTTTTATAGATTTTTTTATAGTTTATTTTTATATATTTTTAATAGATTTTTAATAGACTTTTTATAGTGGGCTTCTATAGTTATTTCTATAGAATTTTCTATAGATTTTCTAAACAATTATGCTATAGACATTCTATAGTTTTTTTGATAGAATTCTATAGAATTTTTTTTGTATGGGCACGCGCAAAAGCTTTAAATTCGTCTCCATTGAATAGTGGGCCGTTATCAGTTTTGAACTTGTCCGGTATTCCTCGCGATAAAATTAGTTTATCTAATACCGGAATGACAGTCTTTGCTGCAAGTGACCTAATTATTTCGACCTCCGGGAATCTGGAATACTCATCTATGACTACAAGAAGGTGTTTCCCGGATGGCAAAGAGCCATAAAAATCAGCTGCTAAGTGAGACCACTTTGAATCCGGCAAGTGTGTCATTTTCAACGGTTCACGCGGTTTTAAGGCTCGGAATGCAAGAATCATACAAGCTTTTGTCTTTACCTGGCCTTGGTGATCTTCATGCGCGAGATTAATGACACGAGTTCTTAATTCATTAGGTATTATTACCTTAGTTCCTTTCAAGATTAGTCCGTTATTAGATACTGTTAACTCGGTTGCAATTTTACGGAATGCCAACAATTCATCAATATTTACCGTTTTTGATTTCGCAAATTTTACTTTGATTAAGTGCCACTGCTGTGATTAAATTAACTCTATGAGATACTGCAATGTGGCATCCTCTTTGGTCGCTGTTTTCAATTCATCTAGTGTCACCGCTTTAGGAATTCTGTGGGTCTCTATGAAATTTACATATTCTTCAGAGACAAGATCTTCGCGAGAGCTGGTTTTTATGGATTATCTTTTCCCTTCCTAAATAAAATCGAGGGATTGTATGGGAGTAGCCTTAACGCCCAACGTTCTAATCTCAACGAAAAACTGGCATTGGCATTGCCAAACAAAGTAACTAACGGCTTGTGGTCTGTTACCACAGTTATGGGTGTGCCGTAAATATATACATGAAAATGCTCGCACGCCTAGATAATGGCCAACGCTTCACGCTCCAGCTGACTTTTGTATCTTTGTTTAACTGCTGTGAGCGCGCGAGTACCATAGCTAACAATGCGCGGTATACGCTTACCATCGTCGCTCATATAATATTGTACCAGCATCGCTCCTAACCCGACAGGGGATGCATCAACAATGAATTCTGTCTCTTGATGTACATTGAAATATGCCATCACAGGCGCATTTACTAAGGCTTGCTTTAATGTTTCGAAAGCTAATGTAAGTTATTTGCCCCAAATAAACTCAACTCCTTTATGTGTTAATTGCCTCAATGGTTCTGTAATTGTTGAATATTTTTTTATGAACCGAGAGCAATAATTAGTCATACCTAGAAAGCTTTGGATCTCTGTAACGTTGCTAGGCTCGTTCATGTCTATTACCGCCTTTACTCTCTTTGGGTCTACTTCAACACCGTGTTTCGAAAATATTAATCCGAAAAATTCCATGCGATTTTTGTTGAATTGGCATTTCGCCAAATTTGCTGTTAGGCCACTACTGTTTAAACGTGTTAGCACCTCATGTAAATAGTCGTCGTGAATTTCTGTATTGGGACCAAGTATAAAAATATCATCTGATATGTTAATTGCCCCTTCGATGTCGGAAATAACTTCCGAAACTATATGCTGAAACTTTTCGCTGGCACTACAGATACCGAAATTTAGTCGTTTATATCTCCATAGGCTATTATGTGTGGAGACAATAGTAATGTAGCGCGATTCCTCGGCTAGAGGAAATTGGTGGTAACCAGACTTTAGATCTATCTTACTGAATATAGTGGACCCATTCACTTTTGCAATTATATCATTAATCGTAGGACTTGGGTGTCTTTCCTGATAATTGCCTTATTAGGTTGTCGCATGTCTACGCAAATTCTAATTTCATCCGGGTTTCTGAGTTTTGGCACCACCACTATTGGACTAACCCAGGGGTAGGCCCTTTTACTCGTTCAATAATACCCTGTCTTCCAATTTACGTAACTCCTTCTCTACTTTTTCCCTCATATGGAAAGGGATTCTCCTATGTGGCTGTGCCACGAGTGGGACAGACTCATCTATGTGTATTTTAACTGATATGTCTTTCATCTCCCCTATACCCCCTGCGAACACATTAGGGAATATCTTATTTAGCTTACCCCCTACATCACTCTCTATCTTGTTAACGTCATGGTTAATAGAGATCAACATTAAATCAATAGATGTGTTGAATCCAAGTAAGTTAACTTCATTACCTTCTGCAACAAAGAACTTAGTAGAACGTGGATAATTATTGTTAACAGATGAAATTTCAGCCTTAAATAACCAAGAATGTTTACTTTAGTACCTCCATATGCAGTTAACATAGTCTTACTAGACACTAACTTTACTCCCTAAGCAAGGTATTTACAAAATGTCACATTATCTATACTATTTGACGTAGCCCGTGCATCTGCCATCATAGGCAGTGAACTGTTACATGATTTAAAATATATTTGAAAAATTGGCTTTTTCATAATATCACTGCTAACAGTATGAATACTTACATTTTCTTTAAGGGTAGTTTTATCATCAGTTAACTCATGGGGACTAGCTATAGTGAAAACGTACTCATCATCAGATGATGTATTTACCTTTACTTGATTATTAACATCTTCCACAGCATTACAAATGCCTGTACCTTTTTTGTATTATTATTAAGTCTACAATAATTTGCAAAGTGTCCAAGTCGTCCACAAACATGACATGGTTTACCATAGGCTGGACACGATTCTTTTCCTCCATGATGAGGGAATGGCTTTCCGCAGTTGTAGCACGTCTTCTTTCCTGCACCAGTAGCAGGCTTGTAACAATTCTTTTGGTGGTGGAACTGGTGAGAAGTCCTGTTGTGCATCGGCTGAGGTCTCTGCTTTTTATGACGACTGTGATTACGTCTCACGAACTTCACCTCCTCTGACTGTTGCTGTGCGCTGTTTTCCATCTCAGACGTACGTAAGCTTAGCTTGTTAATTCATTGGTCCTTCCTGCTATCAGAAGCTGATCTAACATCATTGTGTTGTCTCGAAGAGCTGCTTTTCTTAACTTGGAGTCATTGGTGGTTTGTATAATATGACTCTTTAACTAAGCATCCATGTCAGTGAAACTACATTTCGACGCCTGTCTCCTCAACCTGATGTTGTATGCATTAATTGTCTCTCCTCTATGTTGTTGCATTTTTCGGAACACTGCTTTTTCATATTCGACATGCACAGTTGGTTTAAAATATGCTTCCAAAGCCGCAACTGCTTGAGCATACGTTGTTCCATTATTTGGCAAGCTAGAAAATGTACAGGGCCTATTGTACAGCATAATTCTCAAAGCGTTCCAACCACGCTTCCCAGCCCGTCGGTGCCTCGTGATCGAAAAATTCGATCGGAGGAACGTCAAACTTTGACACCATAATTAATGATTTCACTCACCACTTTGGTCTGTAAAATCACAGATCCCTGGTTCTACAGGTATTTTACCTCGTCGCCAGTTTAATATTGTTTATTGATGATTGCAACAAGCCATCTGATACTCCAATTCAATTACACATCATACCAAATAACGACCCTACAACAAGTGTCCATTTTATGTGTTTCTTTATTCAGCATATTCCAGCTAATCACACTGGCCGCTCTAGTCACATGATATGATCAACATCTTCATCGTGACGTAGTCACATCACTACACTGGGTGTACGAAGTCTAGATAGTGGAAAAATGGATTTAAGGTTAGGTGGCTGTCTAGTAGCAAGTTTGAAATCAAATACCATGGGGATGCGTGTAGTATTAATTTTAGGTTTGTAATTGAGAAGGTCAGAGCGGGTATGAGTGTTAGCTTTCATGATACATGATTTTATAAGTTTGAGGGGATAGCCCTTATTAAGAAAGTGGTCAGTAAGTTTGGTGACGTTAGTACGGTACTCGGTAGGATCAGAGCAAATGCGTTTACAGCGAAGCAATTGGCTGTAAATAATAGATTGTTTAAATTTGTTAGGATGTGAGCTATGGTAGTTAAGATATGTGTGACTATCGATGGGTTTAGAATAGAGATATGTGGAGATACTGTTGCCTGAAATAGAAACATTAACATCAAGAAAGGGGATAGAAGTGTTAGAGTGTTCCATAGTAAATTTGATAGCGGGGTGAAAGTTGTTACAGTGAGTGACGAATTTTGTAAGGTTGTCAAAACCGTGAGGCCAGATGAAAAAATATATCGTCAATGTATCTATAAAAATGGTCAAAGGAAGAAATTAGTTTGTGTTCAAGTTCGGCCATAAATATGTTGGCGTAACTAGGGGCCATTTTAGTGCCCATGGCTGTACCTTGCCTTTGTAAAAAGTGCTGATTATTAAACATGAAATTGTTAAGTTTTAAGATAAAGTCAATAATAGTGGTTATATCATTAGTGGTTTCAACAGAAAATGAGTTGTTCAAGAGGAAGTGTCTGCAGGCATCGACACCATCTGCATGTGGGATGTTAGTGTATAGAGAGGACACGTCCATAGTGACGAGGAGTGCAATGTTAGGTAGTGCCAGTGATGTTATTCAGAATATTAAGAAAGTGCGTGGTGTCCTGGATAAAACTAGGTATGTTATGTAAAAGAGGTTAAGATAAGAATCAACCAAGCCTGATAGGGATTCAGTAAGGGTACCAATAGGGTCTACCGGGTATAGTGATGTTCAATGACTTACCTAAATTGAATATTACAGTGGGAGAGGATGGAACTGTGAGATTACGAGATTGATACCTTAGTGGCAAAATCGCTAGATAGAGTTGAAACAATAGTATTAAGGTCACGTTTAAAATCAAGAGTTGGATCACTTGTCAATGGTCTACAGTTATTAGAGTCTTGAAGTTGCCCTTCCGCTTCTTTAATATAGTCTTCCTTGTTTAAAATTGTTGTGTTACCACCCTTGTCAACTCCCCGGATGATAATGGCGTCGTTGTTTTTAAGGTTGGTGATAGATCGACGTTCGGGTTTTGTAAGTTTGTTTTCAGGTGTCTTGGTTGAGCATTCATTTATGAAAGTATCTAGATGAGACTTCGACTTGCTAACGAATGAATCGATGTAAACGTTTTTTTCCAGGTGGGGGTGTCCAACGTCTATGCGTCAGTTTGTTGCGCTTTGCAGATGTAGGCGTACTGTCTGTTTTGTCTTTAAAGTGTTCTTTGAGTCTTATTCTGCGAGTGAAGTCATTGAGATCACAGCAAAGGTCTACAGGGTCAAGCTTCCTTGTGGGACAGAATGACAGGCATTTGGATAAGAGCGACTCTTTGCTGTTTGAGAGCTCATGGTTAGATAGATTGACCACAATATTGTTAATGAGCCCATTATGATTGCTCTGCTCACCACTGACTTGCCTGTTGAGATGATAGGGTGATCGGGTCCTAGTCCTTTCAATAGTTAATCTTTGGCTACAATATTTTGAAGTTTATCTTAGAATCTTAGAAGATGCCTGGGCACACATTCTGTTAGCTATAGCTAGACAAGACTGGTCGGTGGTCGTATTTTGAAGTGGGTTCTGGATTCTTAGTCCATTGGGTACAATATCTAGTCTCTTGCATTGTGTCAATAAGACGATATCCGATCTGGCATTTGCAAGTTCATGGAGAAGATGTTCATGTTTAAGTGGTGTGTGGCGATTAACCCTGTCAAGTCGGGGTCCAAAATACATGAAGAATATATATGTATATATATATATATATATATATATATATATATATAATATCAAAGGTACATATACAGTGTACGACGCTCGCCTTGTCAGAGAGAGGTCGCAGGTTCGAATCCCGTCGGAGGAATTTTATTACACAATGACTTTTATAGGACTTCATGCGTTGAAAGCTACAGGGTAGCCTACGATGTTCCATCATGTCCTTATGTAAACACTGTATATGTGCCTTTGATGATTTATATTATATTTATTCAACAGTGTTAACGGCTAACTCCCTTCAATACTATATGTTACCGTAAGTTTTTACTGCAGGTGAAGGAGGATTATATCACATTTGGCGGCAATATAATCAAGTTCAATCTAAGAATACTCTATCATAAAGCCCATAAAACCCTTATATGGGCATGATGATTATCATATGACACCCAAATCATAGGTATCTGTCAAATAAAACCTGATACTGCAGACCTGTCTCTTATACACATCTAAATGTGTATAAGAGACAGATCTTGCACC